CTCCTCATCTGAAGACCTGCTGCAGCTTGTGAGAGACACCTGCAAGTGCTTCAACTGCAACCAGATCAGCCATATTGCTATATAGTGTCCTAAGCTGAAGCGTTCCTATCCTGCGAAGGTTAAGAAAGCTAAGAAGTGAGAAGAGAGCAGTAATAAGAGTCCTATAGAGGAGCTGGGAAGCTCTGAGGCTGAAGAGAGCTTAGGAAAAGAGTAACTCCACCGCAAAGTTAGGCGTTAGAGGCTAAACTTAGTGATATCATAAAATAGAAGCAGTTTAAGTATCGCATAAGCAGCAAGTCAGCAGTAATCACTATCTATATATATAAGGGCACTTAAGCAGACGCCCTAATAGATATAGGGTGCAACTTATACGCCCTTATCAACTATAACCTAGCCTGCAAGCTCTGCCTGCTAGTAGTAGACCGCTCTAAGCAAGTACTAGGCAGCTTTAAAAACGCTATAGGCGCTATAAAAGCAATAGGTGTAGTTATCTTTAACCTCAAGCTGTGCAGTTATAATAAGAAGATCTTTGCATATACTATATAGAGCCTTAGCGACGATCTGTTCCTAGGGAAGCCCTAGATAGAGAGGAACTATATCCTATATAATGCTGCTGCGCAACAGATATAACATAAGAGGGGCGGCGTAGACCTACGTCTAAAAGGCGAGGAAGAGCTAGGACGAGTGCACCAGATCAGAGCTGCCCGCCTCCTCCCAGGAGCCCCTTTCGTAACGCTTTATAAGAGGGCATAATAACACACTAAAGGAACTGCAGGATATAAAGTTTAAGCGATCAGCCTAGCAGATATATAGAAGGCTCTTATGAAGAAGACTGAGAAGGCAGACCTAAAAGCCCTCCTCCCACCAGCTGTACTAGCTAAGTTCTAAGAGCTATTCCAACCTGATGAAGCTGCTAACCTTCCACTATATCGCCCTAAGGTTAACCATAAGATCCCTATTAAACAGGATAGTAGTAGTAATAAAGCTATACTACTATAGGGTCTGCTCTATAGTATGTTATAAGAAGAACTCCTTATCCTCTATAAGACCTTATAAGACCTACTTAATAAGGGCTTTATCTGCGCTAGCAGCTCAGAAGCATCAGCCCTAGTACTATTTATATATAAACCAAACAGAGGAATATATTTCTATGTTAACTACTGCGCTCTTAATAAGCTTACTAAGCGTAACTAATACCCTCTTCCCTTAATTCAAGAGACGCTACAGACTGTCAGCGCTACTAAGTGGTTCACTAAGCTAGACGTAGTAGCAGCATTCCATAAGATCCAGATTGCATAGGGAGAGGAGTATAAAACAGCCTTCCAGATGAGATATAGACTATTCGAATAGCTAGTTATCCCCTTTAGGCTTACAGGAGCCCCTGCTACATTCTAACGATATATCAACAGCATACTTTAAGAGTATCTAGACGACTTTGCAACAGCATATATAGATAACATCCTGATCTACTTAAACAGATCATAATAAGACCATAAAGCAAAGGTTAAGCTAGTACTGCATAAGCTTACTGCAGCAGGGCTATATTTAGACCCTCATAAGTGCGCGTTCTCTGTGAAGACAGTTAAGTACCTAGGGTTTATTATTACAGCTGGAGTTAGTATCTCTTATAACCCTGAGAAACTGAAGGCGATTAAGGAATAGGCAGCTCTAAAGATAGTTAAGGGAGTCTGAAGCTTCCTTAGATTTGCAAACTACTACTGGATCTTTATCCCAGCATACTCAGAGATTGCTAGAACCCTAATAGCTCTTATAAAGAAGGGTGTCCCCTTCTGCTGGGGTAAGGAATAAGAAGTAGCATTCCAGGAGCTTAAGAGGATCTTTGCTGCTAAGCCTGTTCTATATCAACTAGACCCTAAGCGTACAACCTATATTGAGGCTGATTGCTCAGGCTTTGCCCTTAGAGGTGTACTCTCATAGGAAGATAAGCATAGCAGACGTTATATAGTAGCCTACTACTTACAGCAGCTTAACGCTGCCTAGTTTAACTATCTGATATATAACAAGGAGATGCTAGCTATTATGAGCTGTCTATAAGAATAGAGAGCAGAGCTACAGAGTGTCAGCCACTTTAGGATCCTATCAGACCATAAGAACCTAAAGTAGTTTATGATAAAGCAGAAGCTTATAGAACGGCAAAGCTGATAGGCAGAGGAACTATCTCAGTATAACTTTGAGATATAGTACCAGCTAGGAAGCAAAGCAGTAGTGCTAGACGCACTCTCTAGATGTGAACAAGATATACCTACATCTCTAGAGGATAAGTATAAATAAGGTTGAATCCTACAGCTCCTCCTAGAAGCAACCCTGCCCTCAGCATATATATAACGTATAGAGGCAGCACTATTAATATGTTACAACCCGTTATGCATGGATAACAGTTGAACGACCCCACTTAGGCGTCAGGCGGCTAGGACAGGATATTTATACTCTGCAGGATCACAGGAACAACAGGGGCTCACTTAGAATAGAAGAACTATAGTATAAGTCATATAATAATAAGAAGGACTAATAAGAGATAAGCAGTCCTGACTTAGGACTGACACAGAGAAAGCGGTCTACACCTAGGGACCGCTCAGAAAGACATCAGTCCTCAGAATAAGGAAACTACCTTAGACTTATATATAGTGTAACCCTGAGCCTAGCTTATAGTCAGACCTTTATAGCTCTTCAGCAATCAACTTAGTATTTATCCTCATAGATACTCTCAGCTTACCTTCACTGCAAATCACTTATTAAGTCTAAGACTGATCACCTTAGCCTCTGAAGACCTAATCTACTACAGCCTATAAACTACAACCTATAACCACAACCTAGTGTACTGTTAGAACGTATTAATCCCTAGCTTCTGTTAGCAGACCCTACTGTCGGATAGCTGACCGTAATATTAGTCGCACCTAGTATGGTGTTTCTGCTGTAACTGCGATAGTTATAGGCGTAGTTATATCTAGAGGGAATATTATAAGGGACTTCTGAAACCACTACTAATATTATAGCGTATATAAAGCGACCTCGCTATGGATTTTATTACTAACCTTCCCCTTACAGATAAGGGCGAGAGATATCTTTAGGTAATTATCGACCAGCTAGGTAAAGGCGTAACCCTTAAGGCGATAGAAAGCATAGAAGCTGAAGCCTATGCTGAACAATTCCTAAACTGCTACTTTAGGTTTCACAGCATCCCTATATTAATTATGAGCAACAGAGGGAGCAACTGGATAAGCTGCTTCTAGCGGCAGTTCTGCAAGCTTTTGGGAATAGAGCAGCAGCTTAGCACCACCTACCACCTGCAGACTGATAGAGGCCTAGAGAGGATAAACCAGGAGATCTAGGCCTACCTATGCAACTACGCCACCTACTCAAAGAAGGACTAGGCATATAACCTTCCAGCAGCTCAGCTAGCGCTTTATAGCTGCGATAATAGCGCTATTAGGATGAGTAGCTTCTTCCTAGAGCATGGATATAACCTAGAGCCTATTAAGGTTAAGGAAGCAGGCCTAGCAAGCCCTGAGGGCACCTGTGAGGGCTAAGCACGCAAGTTGGTAACAAGGCTTTAAGATGTGATAGATATAGCCTAATTAACCCTCGCCTCAATATAGCAACGCTACAAGGAGCTGGCTAATAGGAAGCACCAGCCTACAGAGAGACTAGAAGTAGGCAACAAAGTCTAGCTTTATATAGGGCATTATAGATCCCCTAGGCCTTGCAAGTAACTGGATTAGTTACACTATAAGTATATAGTTACAAAAGTTATCTCACTATATATAGTAGAGCTTAATATACCAGCAGCTATATACCCACGCTTCTATGTAGATATCCTGAAGCGTGTAGGTAACAACCCCTTACCTGGTCAAACGTTAGATGATAAGCAGCTGCTACTAATTATAGATAATAAAGGCGAAGAGACCTAGAGTGTAGAGAGTATTAACGCTGCTACCTGGAAGCGTCAAGGGCGCAGGCGACGCTGCGAAGTTCTAGTTAAGTGGGAAGGATATACAGAGAGGACCTAGGAGCCTGTCGAGACGCTCCAGGGGACAGAAGCAATAGAGGCTTACAAACGCCGTTATGGCTCTGCGATGGAGCACGATAGAGACCTAGCCTTAGCGCTGCGGGCGCGCCGCCGGAGGGGAGCGGGGGGGTGATGTCACGGGCTAGAGCCCAGATTGATATCTCCAGCTTCGCTGGAGCAGTTACCAAGATCCAGCTCTGTTGGACCCACTATTCTGCTGCAGTATGCCGCCTAACCCAGCCTGCTTCACCGCTGTTAGGTGCCTACTCTTGTAAAGTCCTTTCTTCCTTCTTCAGCTTAGAATAGTCAATCGACGGCACCTCTATGTTGAACAAGCCTAGGGGCCAGCCCCTTACATAGGACGCCTATTAGGAAGTATTAGGCTAAGAGGCTTATTGACTTACAGCTGACTTTAAAGACTATATTTAATTATCTATATAATTATTAAAGGGCACTTTAAGAGGACCTAGAGGTTATTTTAAAGTGGTTTGCATTATTAGGCAATATAATAGCTAAATATAATATTAATAATAAGGATCTATATAACTTCAATAAGACTAGCTTTATAATAGGTGTTACTATTAGTTTAATAGTTATTATACATGCTGATAGATGTGGAAAGGTGAAATCTATCCAGCTTAGTAATTATGAATAGGCTATAGTTATTAAGTGTATTAATTTGAGGGGATAGTATATCCTACCTTTTATGATTATTTAAGGGTCTTATTACTTTACTAACTAGTTAATAGAATTAGGCTTTCTAGGCGACTAAGTAATTAAACTAACTACTAATAGATAGATTAATAATAAAACTAGCCTAGACTAAATTAAGCATTTCAAAAAGCATACTTAGGCTTATATAAAAGGTTTCTATTAGATGCTTATAATTAATAGATATAAGAGCTATTTATCAGCTAAATTTAATAATTACTATAAGCAGAATAATATTATAACTATTAGTATGCTTCTATATTTATCTTACTTACTCTAGCTATTAGATATTATGCTATACTTACTTTTAAAATATATATATAGGGATAAAATCAACCTATTTATTAAATCCTCTATTAACTATATTATAAAGTCTAAGTTCTTTATTACCTTATATAAAGCCTATAATAAGATCTTTATAAATAAAAATATTAAATCCACCTTCTACAAAGCTAATATTTTACTATAAGACCTAAATTATATAATTAAGAAACTTAATATATATATATATAGACGCCTACACCTCCTATAACTAATCCCTTAACACTACTAGCCTAATAGTTATAAACGCCCTCTAACTAATATAAAACGCTTTTATAATTAAACTTTATTAAAACTTAGATCTTAGCTTATTAATGAAGCTCTCTAACACTAATAATTAAAGCAGTTAACCAGCTAGCAAAAGGTATATAAATAATAGCATACTTAATTATAATTTTAATAGATTAGGTATATATACTTTAGGATGCTAATATAGCGCTTACTAAGCGCTAGAGAGCAAAGAGGATATATATCTAGCTTAGAGGAGCACTTAATATAGCAGAATCTCAGGTTATCCTAGAAGAAAAGGGCAAAAGGAAACATCCAGCGCCTCAAGAAGGTGAAGATAGGGGTCTGTTGAAAAAGGGTTGGTTAGCTTAATAGCGTTGCAGTGTATGCAGCAAGATAGGCCATAATGCGCAAATATGTTCTAAATATGTAGAATTATCTAGTGAATCAGATGCTGATGAGAGCTAATTAATTTTCTACGTTCTGGTTGTAAAAACTTATATGATGTTTGAAAGATGAGGAAAAGTGTGCAGCTGACTGATATGCGCGGCTGATTAGTAAAGTATGTTAGCTATTTTATAGTATAAGCTAGCTATATCTATATTTTATAGCTATTCTAAAAGAGAGGCAACAAATATTAATAGGTTCCTTTCTTTAGGTCTCTATAACTTATTATATTATAATATTTCAAAAAGTTTAGCACCTCTATAGTAGTGTTTAAGCTTATTAACTTTCACTATAACCTAAAGTTTACTACTAACTACTTTAAGTTTTAATAAATACTTAAGGTTGATATTATAATAAGAAGCTTTATAGTTAGTATATTACTCTAAAGTAGTATATTTAGTATTATTAATATACTTTAGCTTTCTATAGTAGCTATATAGCTATATACACTTATAATCTTTATAACAATACTAATTAAAATAAGTTATATATTACTTTAGTATAAAGCGTTATTTTACTTTTTCTATAAAAATAGAGCTAAAAGTTTTAAAAAGAGAAACCTTTTTTTTAAATATAATAATCTAAATCTATCTTTTTAGTTATTCAATACTTGTTATAGAGAAATATTAAACTAGTTTTTATTTCACTATAATATATATCTCATTATATATTAAATCTTTTATTAATTTAGATTAGTTAATATAGTAGTTATATATTATCTTTTTAACTCTATAGAGAGTATATATAGCTTAAACTATAGATTCCTTAATATCTATTATATTAAGTAATTCTAAAAGCTTATTATTATAGATAAATATAGTTAATTTAATTTATTTATTTATTAATATAACTATAAAACTAAATAAATTCAAGTAATCTTTTTAATATTTAAGATATTAATATTATAACTTTTTATCAATCTTCTATAAAGCATTATAGTATTAACCTTTCTAAACCTATTAGATTCTCTATAGTAAATAAAACTTTAGTGATTTCTATTAGAGTATTATAGCTCTCTAGCTTCTTTTTAAAAGCTATTTAAATAAGTTATAGTTTTTTAATTTAAAGCTTTTATATAGTTCTAATTAAAATAGAAGCTATTACTAACTACTTTAGTATAGCTATTAATGGGAAGAGAAATATTATTAAAACTATTTTATATAATATTCTAAAAAAAGTTAAAATCTAAATAAAAGTAACTATTTTATCTATTTAGAAAGTAAAAAAGTATCTATTTAAAAAGCTATATAAAATATCTTATAGCTATAATATTATTTAGATTAATAAAAAGGTTAATAATAATAGCTTTAAATGCCTCAAAAATCTTACTACTAATTTTATATTATTAGTAGTAAAACTTTTTAATCTTAGTTATATTAAAAACTAAATTAGTTATTTTATTATATTAAGTTTATTATTATTAGCTTATATTAAGCATATTAAAATTAAGTTAGCTTATTTTCATAAACTAATTTATTTTAAGTAAATCCTCTATATATTACTTCTTAGTTAGAGAGTACTCTTTAATAACTTTAAATTTTATAGTAAAAGATATTACTTTTATTAGTAATTAGAAAAGTATTAATAGAGAATTAAAGAGATTAGGTGTTAGTAAAGCGGTCACGCTATAAGTAGCTACTATACTAAATACATTAAAATAGCCGAAATAAGGTTATTAAGGATATAGGTGCAGAGCGGTAGCATATACTAACAGCGCTTGCTAAGAAAAATATATAAGAAGGAGAGTTAATTGCTGAGACCTTGCACGAAGCATCGCCAGCTTTCCCAGCTATTTTGAAGCATTTTTTCAACAGCTGGAAGTCATCCTCATACAGAGTTTTAGAGTCTGTTCCATGCGACAGAGCTCGCAGTTTTGCCTCCATTAACTGAAGTTCTGGCTCCCACTCAGGTCCCTCTGGAGATGGAGGGCTGACGGACCATGTATCCAAAGATGACTGCAGCGCCGTCCACGATATACTAGCCTCCAAAGGGCCTCTCAGCTGGCGCACGAGCGTTGCGCAGCCACGAGCGGGAAAGATCCATTCGGGGGGTCCGGGAGGGTCGCTGTTGAATAGGAGTGAAGAGGGGTTTTCGAATGAAGCGAAGTAGTAGTTGGACATGAGCGCTGAGCAAGCGAATAGAGCGTGCACTTGGTGGACAGCCACTTCCGGGGACAACGCATCGCGGAACTGGCTAAAAGCTTTGGCTTGGTGGCCCCATGCCACGCGCTGGTAGTTGATCGAGCTGCTGGGGTTGAGATGATGGAGATGGATGGCTGATACAGCTAGGACTTCGTGCAGGAGGTAAGGAAACTTGGGTGCCAGATTGGGAAGGTCTGATTTCCATGACATGAGCAATGCCTCGTCTTTGAGAGCAAGGCATGGTAGCGTGGTCGTCAGGAAGTGGTTGAAAAGAGCAAAGTCAGAAGCTTCAAAGGTGTCGACGGATGTTGAAGGGCTGCTGCTGTCGATGGGTTTTGAGGCCAGAGAGTGACGTGTATGATTGATTGAAGTGGTGGACTCTGTTAACAGGCTGCAGGCCAACGAAAACTTGCTGCAGCGAGCACATGGAACCTGTTCATCGCACTTATAGATGCGTTTGTCAGAATCATTGAGGTGAACTTGGGTTCTGAAGTGATGCTCACAACCTGCTCACCTTGATCTTCTTGGTCTTACATTCCTTGCACCCGTTTCGTTACTTGGTATGTGATCTACGAGACTGGCCCATGCTTCTCTTCAGTTACCACCGCAGTAGAAATCATACGACTACCATTGAGAGCGTTTGAACATAAGCAGTCTGTTGTCAAGTGAAGTTGGCCTACAAGCGTCGCTGATCGTGACAATGTGCTTATGAGATTGCGTCAGCGGCGCTTACTTGAGAATAAGACAGCGTTTATTTATTCTTCGTGACCAATGAGAATAAAATTTGAGCAGCTAAATCTGGGCCTGCGTCTATCTTGTGGCCGTAGCTGAAAGAGGCAAAGTCCGACAAGTGAAAATGGATATCAAAAGCTGGCAGTAACCAAAGTCCCTACTAGCTCCATCATCATAATAAATGCACCTCAGCCTTAGTTCCGCTCGTAGGCCTGTTGCTCCGCATCTGCCGGCCGGGTCTCCCATCCCCCGTTGACAACAGCCTCCTGATCGAGCTTCTTAACGTTCCTGGCCAAAACACCGTTGATCACGAGGATAAGAGTGGCAGCCAACTCTTCAAAGAGGTACAGCCACACCTTCACCATCGCAGAACCGGTCGCGGCGCTGAGAGAGCTGTTCTCCGATGCGACGTAGGCCAGCGTCGCGATGACTCTCACGCCTATGAATGGCAGCGCGAAGAGGACCGCTGTGAGGAGGATGACGGCGGCCTTCTTCTGAGGGCGGCCGTCACTGAGCATGTAGCCTTGAAAAACGGCGAAGGCGGCACCTGCAGCAAGAGCTACCCAGCTGAGGAAGAGAATAACGGCGCCAACCTTGGTGAGGGTCCAGCCTTTGGAGACGTCGTCGGGAGAAGCGTGCTTCATGAGATGGGACATGCCAATCGCGATGAGCACGACACCGAGCATGGTGAACATGTGGTACATGAGGACAAAAACGAGGTCTTGCTTGTGATTTGCGCTGCGCTTAGAGGGGCTGGTGTGGTAGAAGCGACTGTCAAATGCAACATTAGTTGTGCGCTGGAGCCTGCTGTTCTGAGGTGGAATACTAACGCTTCATGTAGAGCACCAGAAAGTGCGAGCAGCAGAGGCGACAAGCCGACACTGGAGACGATTGTGGCGCCGCTGCTCCCAGAGTCGCCCAAGGCCATGCCGGAGCCGATGATCTTCAAACTGCAAAAGATGAAGAGGTAACCCCATCCGAGAGTTGCCCATCCTCGTACGCCATGTTTGAATGTGACGAATAGTGTGGGGACTGAAAGGGTGATGAAGATGATGAGGACGGCGAGGGAGTATCTATCTGAGACGGCCATGTCGTCGACTTGGATTCGGAGCAGTGCGTGGATGAAAGGGTGGATTTGGCGAGGAAGTTGAAGCTAAGTATCAATGAGACTGGAATATTCGATGATCGTATGTTACCCAAGACTGAGATAGGACTTTTGGAGTTGATGTGGGATCAAAGGCTTTCCGATATGAGGAAAGCCAAGACTCTTGTATCTTTTTAGTTGAGCGCAGTAGCTAAGTGAGTAAGCGACAAGGCTCTGATGCACAACGAACAAGCTGCTTGCCGATCTAGATGCGTTTTGGTCTATCATGTAAAGCAAGGCAACAACCAACAGCCCCCCATCACTGCCTCACGATAATCCTGCTCTACATCAATTCGATGCCTGACGCGGGCAATGTGGTGCCTTACGCGGAGAGACCAGATCCATTTCAGCCCTAGCTGACGGCTGACGCAGTCAAGTGCTGCGGTCAAAGTTGGGGACAGATCTGCGCTGCGGAAAGGCGACAGCGAAAGGAAAGGGACTTTGGTGTTGAGAAGTGTCGATTCGCGAGAAAAGACGGGGCCTTGGCATGAGCTTAGCATTAGTCTACCCGTTTTCCCCAAGGGTCTGAAGCCGCTTAGGCGGTTTCCTGCCTGAGACGATCGTTTGGATGCCTTATGCGGTCGCAAAGCGAGCAAAGCGACAAGAGCGATAAGCAACGCAGAAGGTGGCGCATCGCGTCACACTAGCGCGGGCAGTCTACACTGCCCAGTTGAGCAATCGCAGCGAACATTCGTTGATTGTGACGTTTTGTTGGATTCCATAGTGCCTGTTAACGTGACTCGGCTCAACTATTGCTAAGTGAGAGGAAAGCACTTAGTTCCATATGTCTCTCCACATCTCCTTGAACCCGTAATGAGGAGCTTTCGAATCGTAGATCTTGGCCGTCTTGCCTTCCTTACTAAACCGGTCGAAAATAGCGGCCGGTCCAGCGCCAGCCGAATCGAACATCGGCTTGACAGGCCTTGTCACCCTCTCTCTGATGGTTCCAGCTACCTGTGGCGCGACGTCGGCGTAACACGCACTGAGCTCACGCTCCAGTGAGAAGTACGGTTTCTTCGCCAGCTCTGGTGCCATGAGGTTGTATGACCGCGTGATGGCGTTCATGTTCTCGATAGCGAGGGTCATGTACGAGCGTTCGCCCTCAAGCCAATCCGAATCGCGAAACGGCGCTACCGGAGGTGCTGGGGACTCCCTCGGAGCCGTGACAGCTGCATCTTTGGCTGCCGCATCCTCCGCCGCCTGTTGCCGCATCTTGACCATGACGATGTCATCCGTCGAGTTTGTAGGCACTGAGATACTGTCGCTGTTCCTCTTGCGCGGGTTGTGCAGCTCCTCAGCGCGTGCATAGTCTTCGGCTTTCTGCATCTGCTCCTCGAGGCTGCCGCCTCGAGAGGAGATCATCCTCGCGACGTGCCGCCGCCAATCGTTCCTCAACCTCGCCCTGAAAGCGCCCGCAACCTTTGCGAGCTCTTGCTGCTTCTCAATCCAAGGTGGAACAATCTCCTGCCGCTTGATCATCTTGTTCATGATATACTCCGTCGTATCAATGAACGGATTATCCGCTCTAGTATCTCTCTCGACACCCTTGCCGCGAGGGATGCTCTTGAACTGCCCGAGGGCAATAGCGTTTTCTATCCTCTCGTTTGCCAGTGCAGCCAGCCCAGATATGGTATTCGGCATAGCTCTAGCCCCTGGCTCGAACCGCTCACGAAATGTCTTCCTCATCTCCTCCCGCTCGGCATCGCTGAGCCCATTCTTCTCCTTCATCCCCATACCGGTATACGTCGACGCTCGTTCGCGTGCATTGGCAGCGCGCTGGCCGGCGTTGACTTTCGGTTCTCGTCGTATGCGCATGTCGACTGGCGGGATCTGATATTTTCCCCGCAGCTCGGGCTTGAGAGGCTTCCTCGCATCATTCAGCATGCGAAGAGCAGTGTCGGATTGTGACTCCTCGCCAGTCCAGGGCTGCGTTGTCGCCATGATTCGGGTCCCTTCAGCGGCGGAAGTGGGCATCTCAGCCTCGGCAAAGGCGGCCGCAAAGTCGGATCTGAACTTGGCTGTTTGAACCTTGTCGAGAAGCTTCTCCTTGAGCTCTTGATCAAACCCCGCATCCTCAACTGCTCGTCGTCCAGCACGGCCTCCCGTCAACAGAGCTTCCTCGGTAGCTTCCTCCAGTCTGCGTGACATAGCACCCTTCTCTTTAGGGGGCCCATCTGGCTTCTGTTGCGTCTCGGCAGCTTCGGTAGCTCGTTCGGAAGAGTAAAATCGCGGGGCAACTGGGATTCTAGGCTCGATTCGGTTCGTACTTCGAAGGCAGCGTCCGTAGACGAACGACGTTCTCGTAAATCTAGTCGCCATATTTCCAGTTCCACGCACCAAAAGGCGTCAGCAGTATGCGCATGATCGGTTGAGAAATGGAATCGCGAGGGGACGACGCGATGGTTATCGTGATGTCAATGAAAGGAAGAAAGTGGCGATTGACGGAGTTAAGCACTGGCCAACCACCACCTAGCTGAAGGACCCACACAAGCTTCGTCGGAGCTGGCTCACGGACCCACAATTCCGGCCGATGAACGCCGGCACGTGCCTATATTTTCAATAGGGAAAGCTGTCTACCCCTCCCTCCTATTGGGAAATAGCAAAGCGCTAATCACATGTCAGATTTCTCACAATAATATTGAAAACATCAAGTCTGCAAATGTATACAAAAGTAGAAAGAGGCCTCCCAACTCAATGTGTTGCGTCAGCAAGCCAATTGTCCCAGTCCTGAAGTGCAATCGGATCCATATCTTCTCCCAAAGTGAACCAATTTTCATCCTGAAAAACTTCATTGATGTCTTCAATGTTTGGAGGATGCCGAAATGAAGGATCGACATCGCCTGCAGAAACCACCCTCATCGTACGTAGTGCCAGTTCCTCGAAGATCTGGCGGTATGGAGACTCAGGATGCCAGTCCTCTGCGATGGCGAGAACTTTGAGGCACGCTTCAAACGTTGCCGAAATGTCCATCTTTTGAACTTTTTCGCGAACTCGCTTCGATTTCCACAGACACCCGAGATAGGTAAGACCTGCTGAAAACAGCACATGCACCATGCTCCAAGTGATTTGGACAGCTGTCCCTTCGTGTACTTCTCTGAACAGGAAGCAGAGCTTCGAAGAAACATTGGCGCAAGTTTCCATAGAATATTCAATGTTAATCTGCGTTTCGAGTCCTAGAGCAGACGAACGGTCTGGAGTGAGACAGTGGCGGTGTAAAAGAAGTAGAGCGCGGAGATACTCAAGCTGAAACCACTTCCTAGAGGCATAAGGAGATTGTGGATTCGTGATGGGGTCCACTTCATGCGGTTTCACTTCAGCGTACCACTCCTATAGCTCCAGTTGAATCTCCTGGATCAGGTCTTTCTTATCTATGGTGCTCATTGTTCTGACGAGAGGCTGGGCCTGCGGGTGGAGACAATCGCTGATCTTACTCCAAAGACGACGTAGTTTGATTGAATGTATGAAACCAGTCGAAAGTGTTGGAGAAGACGTGCTGTCAGTCCGCGGAGGACGCAGAAAGCCGGTTGGCGTGATTGCTTCATCGTCAACGTCCATGGGAAGCTTAATCCTTTGGTCAACCTTCTGATGTCCATAGCCGTTCCCAAGCGGAACTTACGTCGACATATATCGCGTCATCCGATATGCCCAGAGGGAGCCCCAACGTTAGTGCGAGGGCGTGATCAAGGTTGTACGCCACCCAAAAACACCGCTTCGACAGCTCTTGTTCCAAAGTATTGGCGTTTCTGCAATATACCGTCGTGCGCTGATGCAGTCCCATTTCGATACAATGACGAAGGGCCATGCCTGCAGTTTTCCTGTTTCGAAGACTCGTTAGTTTTGATCATGGGTCCACGGAAATGGAATAATAGTGAGTACCAAACATTTCCGCCTACGGGAGACCGGATCGACAACAGTGCACAACAAAGGACGCATTGAATCGAGCTTAAATTGTCCAAACTGAGCAATGAATCCATGTATTCCATGGCACTGCTATAATAAGCCTGGGGCCAACACACCATCAGTCCAGAACAGTTCAAATTAGGCGACTCACCATAGCAATATCGCAGTGGTTTTGAACCAATGCTCCAATGGCATATACCTGCCGAGAGGAGGGTGACTGAATTAGCGATCCGATTAAAAGAATGGGTAAGAAATGCTCTCACCATCAGAACGAAGAATAGAGACGACTCATCAACAAGCGTCTGGTCACCCTCCATATTCGCTCTCATGTACTGGTCCTCCCATTTCTGGAACGTTGGCTTGCGCAAGATCGGATGTTGTGGATGGATATTCTCGAAATAGGTCTGACACAGGTTGCCTGGAAAGCTCGGAGAGGGAAACCTCATTGAAGACCCATTGTTCCCTACGAAACGAAGGGGCCCTGATTCTTTACTACGGGTAGCGATGCCCATCACAGTGCTCACACTACGCGAGAAGCAAACTGTAGAAGAAGGCCCAAAATACCGTGATCTTCCACAAGGATCTCTTAGAGACATTGAAGTAGATTTAATCAGACTCATTGATGGCTTCTGCAGATATTAACAGGGCGGTGGTTTTCCCATGAGCAAAGAAGGCCGACTAAAGTTCGGTTTCCGCGGTCGCAAGGTTGGTAATATGTTGGCGCATTTGTGCAAAACTGTCTGCTGACTACGGCGCTTGCTAAGTTCACCAACTTTCAAGATCATCCCACGGAACCAAATCTGTAAGCACTACCCAGGATCGTCATTCCGATCCAAACTCATCACGTGCAGTCGTATTTCAACACCCCGTACCAAATACACCGAAAAGTCGATCGACACGGTGCCTCTTTACGGCCTGTGCCGCATGAAAGAAGTCATCGCCCAGGCTTTCCCCGAGTTGGTCGAGTTCGGCTTCACGGATAGCAGAGTAAGTTCTCTGAATCCTCTGAAAGATGTGTCCCTTTGCCAACGAAAACAAAACAGCTATGCTGGTATACGGGCAGCATTGACAATGATGCGAGTTAGTCCACGAACCTTCCAGTGAGCTTCTGCTGACGTCCACAGTATGTTATTGACTACGTGCCCGGATACTCGAAGTCTCTTTTTATTTGTACTGGAGGATCGTAAGTCGTTGGCTATTCCGTCATCCAAATGCTTCAGATCTGACATACAGTTTTCAGAGGTCATGCGTTCAAATTCCTTCCCATACTAGGCAGAGTAAGTGTCTCTATAGACCGAAGAACCCCCGTCTCCACGATTCAAGCTATCTCACGGAATGTAAGCTAAAGAGTTTCGCAGCATGTCAAGAATCAGCTCGAAGGCATTCCGGACGAGTTCACTCAATTTTGGAAGTGGCGACTTGCCGAGGAAGGCCATGACAATAATGGGTTATCCGAAGGAGAAAATGGTCCCAGAGAGGTCTCCAAGGTGGAGATGGCAGACCATGCTGACTTCAAATTGGAACCCACGAGATATGCTTGAGGCCTCAGGTGGACATCGCTTTCGGGGGAAAAGCCGAGAATTTCAGGTACCCTGTGTAGATGAAATAGGACCCGGTCATCTTTTATGACTTTTCTTGACAACGAATTCGACTTTTGGGAGTGCGGATGAGAGGACCTTTCTGATTGGTCCATGCGGCTTTCGCTCGGGTTTGAATCGGAACTCACGGTGTGCTACAGAGCGGTCTCTTTTCTAAACGCCGCGGCCTAGTGTTTCGAGCCTGGCTTCTGGCTCCGTACCTTTAAAAGATTCAATTCTTGTGCTAAATACATGTAAAATAAACGACTTCCTAGATATGCCCTTCGAAATTGCAAGGCATGACTCTGAGCCAGCCAGCAAACCACGTACCGAATCAACACCGCCCCCATCATGTCAACCGTCCAAAGTAATACCTTAATACCCAACCCAACTAAGACAACTATTCCAGCATCAAAGCTACGCCGCCAACCAGCGAACTCTATTTTCAACGACAATAGCTCTCAGGACGACCAGACAGAAGACTCACCCCCAAATGGAGGTTACGGCTGGGTTTGCACAGTAGCAGCAGCAGTGGTCAATGGCCATTCATGGGGGTTCAACTCGGCATACGCCGTCTTTCTGGCATACTATCTGGAACACGACATCTTTCCAGGTTCATCACCACTGGAGTACGCCTTCGTCACGAGTTTAAGCCTCACTTGTCTCCTACTTGTCTCCCCTGTCGCAACAAAATGTGTTCAGAGGTACGGGATCAGGCCCACGATGTTCTGCGGAGTTGTTCTCGAAACAACCAGCCTCCTTTTGGCCAGTCTATCATCGGAGATATGGCATCTTTTCTTGACCCAAGGAGTGTTATTTGGCATCGGAGTTGGTCTCCTTTTCATCCCTACCGCGGCTGTCGTTCCACAATGGTTCACCACGAAAAGATCGTTAGCCGCCGGTATCTCGCTTTCAGGCGCAGGGCTCGGCGGGGGAGTGTATGCCCTTGCCGCGGGTGCGATGATAAGAAGCCTGGGTCTCCAGTGGACGTTTCGAACTTTGGGAATCATCGGCTTTTGCGTCAACACAACCTGCACGATTTTGATACGCGACCGTAAAAAAGCGACTGATTCGAAACAATCTACTTTCGAACTTGCGCTTTTCAAGAAGGCAGAGTATCTTCTACTCCTCGGGTTCGGCGGTTTCACAATGTTGGGATACTTCGTCCTCATCTTCAGTCTCGCAAGCTACGCAACTGAGATTGGCTTGCCGGCCTCCGACGGCGCCCTCATCAGCGCCCTTTTCAACTTCGCGCAGGCTATTGGCCGACCGTTGATTGGATACTTCAGCGATAGCCTCGGGCGGATGAATATGGCTGCGTCAATGACGCTCCTTGCTGGTATACTCTCTCTCGCAGTCTGGGCCAATGCGAAAAGCTTCGGACTTCTAGTCTTCTTCGCCGTCGCCGAGGGGCTGGTTGCAGGGAACTTCTGGGCTACCATTGCACCGCTGATGGCCGAAGTTCTCGGGTTGAGCCATGTTCCGTCTGGCTTGAACCTGATGTGGCTAAGCATGGTGCTACCTGCAACGTTTAGTGAGCCAATTGCCTTGCAAATCTATTCTCGGACTGGAAGTTATCTTGGATCACAGCTATTCACCGGTTTTATGTACATTGCGGCGGCTTTCTGCCTTGTTATTCTTCGAGGCTGGAAAACAAGACACGGAAAGGTCGATTCCTCCGCAAGTCCACGCGAACATGGGGTGACTAGAGCACCGTCTGACCGGATTAAAGGTTGTGAGGAAGGAGTCTCGCAATCGGTTTCTTTAACATTTTTGAAAGACTGCGTAGCATGGAGGAAGGTCTAGTTGATGTAACTATCAAGCCCACTTCAACGCAACTTCTAATTGAGCTCAGATACATTATATGACTTCAAGTTGCATATCCCAAGTGCGTATGCAGCTTCAGACAATAATTATGAACCGGTGCGTTGATATGGCCTGTCGTGGGTGGTATCTTTGACACAAGTAAAATTCTCACATTTTCTCTATCCTCTTATCTACCTAGCCATCTAATATCACTGTCGATTCAGCTGATCATGCCGTGAAATCAACCAAGACCTCGTCCATCTGAGCATTGAAGGTGCCAAAGTACTCCTGACGCTTGTTCTCAAAAGCGTCAAACATTGGCTTTGCGGTTCCAACAGGAATCTGCTCCTCTCCGCCAACCCATCTCTCGTAAACCTCATCCACGAATTCATTTACAGGCATGCCTATCTCAGGCCCATTCTTCAAGTCCGGTTGGTTCTTGGCATCGTGGAGCTCTGTCTGGACTGCTGGAGGGTACACCTCCACAATCTTGACTTTGCTGGCGCTAGACTTCAGCTGGGCTCTGAGTGCGAGAATAAAGCCGTGCATGGCAGCTTTCGAGCCGCTGTAGTTGGGGCAGCGCTTCATCGGGATGAGGCCGAGCTGAGAGGTGGTGTATAGCAAAGCCGCTTGCTTGTTCTGCTTTTGGAGGTGCGGCAAGAAGGCTTTGGTGAGGTGAACGTGAGAAAGGTAGTTTGCCAAGAGCTCGTTATACACGATGTCAAGGTCCACAAACTCAGGGGCCGTGAAGTCGATGCCTCGTTGGACTCCAGCGTTGAGGAAGACACAGTCTAGATCAGGGTGTTCCTTGATGATCGACTCTGCGAACTGCGGGATCTACAGGATGAGGTTAGACCGAGAACGTCATGGGTTGAAGTCCAATTTAGCTTACCGAATCAAGCTTGAGAATATCAACAGGTACTCCTGCGGTCTTGTGGGTACCGTATTTGGCGACGAACTTGTCGAGGTTCTCCTTTCGTCTTCCCGCAGCAATGACGAAGATGCCGTTCTCAACGAGTTTTTCCGCAAGAGCAGCACCAATGCCAGAAGTGGCTCCGACGAGAAGAACTTTGTTATAGGGCAGAGTCATGGTTGCGATTTGGGATGTAGAGTTGCAGTCGGGCAGGTCCGTGAACGATGAGTTGATGAGTACCTGGCTAGAGACTGTTTTTAGGCTAAGCGAAAGAGGTATGATAGTAGTTTCAGAAGACTCTCTGGTTTCTTTTATTCTTCTGGATCTCAATTGCCTAGACAGAAGTGGCTTTAGACATGATACCTTATATGCTAATACAGTGAACCATTGTCCATGTAGGAGTTGTTTCCACGGACATCGCGTCTCCATTTGTAAGCGACACTCGCATTTATCAGCCGATCTGGTCCTATCTAGTTTTAGAACTATTTGTTGGTGCTTTCCAGCTTCCGCTGGCGTGATATTGTACGCGGGGCGGTCCGCTTGTGGATTGGGCCGGTCCAGTATCGCCACACTTCATCCAATGAAAATTTCACGATGAGCTCGGATTACCCCCACAACCAACATTAGAAGCTCGCCCCTTTCGACTAAGCATTTTTCACACAACAAATCCGACGTCACTCAAGACACGAATTTTCGAGAAACCTTTGTCATCATGTCGTATGCATTAGACTCACCAATTGAACATCGTCGTAGCGACATCTTGCAGCAGACGGGCAAAAATGAGGAACGTACGTAGGTAAGACCACATGTTGAGGTAGTCTTTTCGAGCGTAGGGCTTCTCCGGACTTAACTAGCTGATTTATGCTATCGTATATTGATAGGGATAGACTAGTTTCATAGTTCCTAGCAAATCAGACGTTGATATATTAAGCGGTATCAAACCCGGCTAAGAGCCAACATGACTGGCACCCACCAACGCTGCCTGTTCAATGATCGGACCTTCGTTGTCGAATAACGGAATGGGTTCAAATAGCACAAACATGAAGTTACTCGCGCCTTTTAAGATGAGACCCGGTGTTTTAAGGCCTCCAGCACAGAGGGTGATTTAAAGTAGTCAAAGTTGTTGCTTCACAACTTTTAGACTTGGCCAAGCAAACTTACCACGACTAATACTCTTTCAGCTGCTTTTCGGGATGCGTTGAGTGAACTCGATCAATTGTATCTACCGCTCCAGAAAATGCTTTGGTCTCTAAGTCTATGAATGAGAGGGCAGATTGGTTGACTCGTCCCCTGAGCAGAATACCTGTATGCAACGCCAACCCTGCCCTTCAACACCTCGTCCAAATAAAGTTATTTCTTCTACAACTTGGTTCGTATCGAGATGTACAGAACTTCTGCCTTGGCCAGAACTTCTCCGTTTTGATCTTCTATCTGCGCACTGACGAAGTTCTTCCGCCCCTCTATCTTGGAGATCTTGGACCTGACAAGAATCGTGCCCGGCGCAGGGACTGGTCTGAGGAACGTCGTGTTCAGATACGCCGTTCGGAAGTCCTTGTTGGGTTCCGCGCCTTCGGGTCTCTGCGCTACAATCGTCATGCCCGTGACTTCGTCCAGAATCAACGCAACGGCTCCCCCGTGAGCCGCCTCGGGAAAGCCGATCATGCCATCTTTCAGGGTGATGAGCGAACACAACTCGTCGACTTTCCAATCTGGCGGTTGTGGACGCGGGTGCAAAACAAGCCAGGCGGTGATGGTGTTCGGTGTGTTGAGAGTCCCGCCGACATATGAGTTCTCTTTTGTTGGCAAGATTGTCCTATTCGCCGATACTTGGACTACGTGGGAGGGCGAGTCGAACTTGGCGAGGACTTTTGCGCACCATGGTATGGATGCGAAGTGTTGGTATTCCGGATGCGACTTGACGGCTTCGGATGTCATGGCGAAAGGGAGGGCATTGAGCGCGATCGTCAGTCAAGCATGATAGTTGCGGTGAACAAAATTACGACTGATAGCTTAGGTGAGGGGTTGCTTGGATGGAGTTGCCTCGGTTTCGTTATGCGGGGTTCTGGGTAGTTCCGAGGCTGGCGTGGACAGGGGGAGCTGCCTGTTCAACTGTCAACCACGTACCACAACGCGTAGGCGATCTCGAGGCGTATTTTAGACTTTGCCCTTGGAACCTTCAGCTTGAGATTGGACAACTCTCAAACGAATATCTTTGTCACATTTTGAAGAGCATATCGGACGACACGTGGATGTTTGGGTTCGAGTTGCCCACGTCTCTTTCTTCCCTTCTAACTTTTCTTCTGCAGTTTGCCGCCTAGAGGCGCACCTTGTTGACTGCTATATAACTTTCATAGGGAAATATTCGAGAGCTAGGATAGTTTAAAGAGAAACCTCTATAGCTACTTGTAGAGGTATATAAAGAGAGCGCGAATCACTAGGGGGTAAGTATCTCCCTCTTTATACTACTATAACTTATTACTCGTTTAATATTAAGATATTATTATTATACTATATTAATAATATTTATTACTGCTTTAAAAGTAGTAATAGCTTTTTTATAATTACTTAAAGGAACTAAAATAAAGTATATAGATTTTTATATATATAACTTAATCCTTTAGTATAAAGCTTAATAATATACTAAACATACTACTATTTTTTATTAGTATACCTTAATAAAACGATATATTATTAAACTAAAATATAGAGATATTTTAAGTATATTAAAATAAACTTTAAAATATATGAACTATATAATATTAATTAAATTAAACGTTTTATATTATTAAAGTATAATACTTTATTAAAGGAACTTAAGAATATATACATGATCGCTATAGCGTAGTAGTAGTTAATAGGGGTAGTTTACTAGATATATAGGGGGTAGTTAGAGTCAGGGGGACCTCTTATGTATCCCTGGTCATATAAAAATTCACAAAAGAATTCTTCACAAAATGGTTACCCACGTCTTCGGAAGGCCAAGGCCTAGACAGCCGTCAACTAATGACTCACAATTCCTAATCGAACCACTGTCGACGACTAGGGAAGCCGAGCGTCCGAGACTGGCAACTAATTCATCACCGTGAGAGGAAAGAAAAATGATTCAGGGCTACATAAACTCTCTTTAAGCTTGTTCGACGCAGACCTTCCACGCGCCTAAAGTTTTGCGCCTAGGCCTGAAGCCCGTTTGTGCTCTTCCCGCCATGCAAGATCGCTCAGGATCTCCTCGCTTCCCCCGCCAATGACTTTCAGACGCAGGTCGCGTGAGATTTGCTCTGTCATTGTCACGCCTTTTTCGAAACCCATTCCGCCGTGTATCTGCTGGCTTTCCCTGACGGCCTGTTCAACCATTCTGCCGCCTTGGATCTTTGCAAGCGCGATTCTGCTGGCGACGTCCTTGGTCTGCCAGCCGTGGATCTTTACGTGGTATGCTATTTGCTCCAACCAAGCCCAATGCCCCTCAACCTCACGCGCTATGGTGGTGAGTTTATGGCGGATAATTTGATGGGAGGCAAGCGGCTTTCCGAATGTCTCGCGATCGTGCGCATGTTGTAGCGCTTCCGAGAGACAAATCCGTGCTTGCCTATTGCAGTCCACCGTCAAAATGAAGCGCTCTTTGTTGAAATTGCGCATGATGATGGGGAAGGCGCCGTTCTCTTTCCCCAGCAAGTGATCGACCGGAACTTTCACGTTCTCCAGAATGACCCACGATGAGCCGCCCGCATTGTGACCGGAGTTGTGGATCTTCCTGATCGTAATGCCTGGCGAATGCAGAGGTACCACGAGAAGTGAGATACCGCTTCGACCAGGCTCACCCATCCGTACAGCGGTAGTCATATGAGTCGCCCACGGCGCGCCAGTAACCCATTTCTTACGCCCGTTGACAACGTAAAACCTCCCATCGGCAGTCTTCTCAGCAGTGGCTCGTATCGCGCTCACATCACTGCCAGCCGTCGGCTCCGTGATGGCAAGACAGAAACTCGTCTCCCAAGTGAAAAGCCCCGGCAGCCACCGTCTCTTCTGTTCTTCGGTCCCCGCCGTCCAGACGGGCGGGGCACCCACGTTCGACGCTCCCGCCAGCGCGAGG